TTTTAATATTTTTATTTATTTCTAGGAGAGAGAGAGAGACAGCGTGAGCAGGGGAGGGTCAGAGAGAGAGGGAGTCACAGACTGAAACAGGCTCCAGGCTCCGAGCTGGCAGTCAGCACAGAGCCCGACGCGGGGCTCGAACCCGCGAACCGCGAGATCATGACCTAAGCGAAAGTCGGACGCTTAACCGACTAAGCCACCCAGGCGCCCCTGCATATTTCTGGTTCTTAAAGGTTTTTAGTTTGAAGAAGATGAAATGCATATATCATACTAGGGCCAAAGGATTCACAAAATAGGTGTGTTTCGGTGACAAAGCACTTGTTTCATAGTTCCATAGTTCCATTTACCTAAGGGTAAATGCCAATACATAATTAAAATGGACTGGGGGAATCAGAACTAAATTTGAACATCCCTAATATCAGCCTTTTGTTTCATATCCTAGCTCTTACCAGCTGAGTAACCTTGGGCAAGTTATTTAATTTCTTTGAAATTTCATTTTTCCCATTCTAAAATAAATGCAGTATAAATCCTGTTCCCATCACCTCCAACTCCTTCATTTAAGAATTACATGAGAAGCACTTGGGTGGCCTTGATTTTGGCTTAGGTCATGGTCTGGCGGTTCATGGGACTGAGCTCCGCATCAGGCTCTACACTGATGGCCCAAAGCCTGCTTGGGATATTCTCTCTCTCTCTCTCTCTCTCTCTCTCTCTCTCTGCTGTTCCCTCTCTCTCTCTCTCTCTCTCTCTGCTGTTCCCCCACTCTCTCTCTCCCAAAATAAATGAATAAACTTTGAAAAGAATTACAGGGGCCCCTGGGTGGCTCCATAGGTTAAGTGTCCATCCAACTTCAGCTCAGGTCATGATCTCATGGTTCATGAGTTCGAGCCCTGCATGGGGCTGTCTACTGTCAGCACAGAGCCCTCTTCAGATCCTCCATCTGCCTCTCTTTCTGCTCTTCCCCCACTCATACACATACTCTCTCTCTTTCTCTCTCTCTCAAAAATAAAATAAAACATTAAAAAATAAAATATTATTTTTAAAAAGTAAATAAAAATAAATTTAAAAAAGAATTGAGATAGTATTTGTAACTAGTACAGTGCCTGGACTAAAATAAGGAATCAACGAATGTTAGTTCTTCTCCTTCCCCCACCTGCTCAGCTTCTCTCCTTGTCCTTATCCAGGAAATATAAAGACGTGTGGATTAGCCCCAGAGGCTCAACCTCCAACCATGAGACACAGCAGAGGAAGTGGCCATCCTCCCCTGGGACAACAGGGATGGAGCAGGTATCCCGCGGGCGGCTGGAGAGTATGAGCATCAGAATGAAACGTAAGGACACCAAGCCCCATGAGGAGCTGCAGTCACAAACCGTAGGTCAGTACCACAAATGCTTGGAAGGGAAGGGAAGGTGGTTCGTGATTTTTTTTTTCCATCCAGATGGAAAGAAACATTAATAAAACCTACCCCCCCCCTCCAAACTAAGCTTATACCTGCACATGTAGTATATTTACTTGCCATTTTATCTAAAGAACGCCAGTATCTTTTACAAAACATTGGCAAAATAATAAGAACATTCAACAGCGGGAGAAACATGTAGCATCTTAGCATGACGTTATACAAAACAATGCAAGCTTAAGTAAGACGCACTTTATCTAAGAAGCCAGCATGTAATCGTCCAATATGAAAAAGAGAGGAAAAAAGTTGTAATGCCCTACCCTCCTGACTTGCCATTTTCCCCATTGCACCTCAAAAAAAGACATTTTTTTAAATAAAGGAAGCCAGCAGCTACCCCCTTCCCCTCTGCTCCCAAGTCTCTTGCTAGGGAACAGCAAGGCATGAACTCAGAGGGGAGGGTGCCACCTACTGGGCCAGCACTCACATCCCTCAACATTTTCTGTTGGCTTTTCAAGGTCTCCCCGCTTAAAATCCAGATTTGGCCTGAAGCTGCTTTGTTACTGACAGTGACGAAAATCATAACCCAAGACACTCCTACACAGAAACTTAAAAGCTACAGCATGAATTAATCATATGACAACCTCTTGCAAACTTCACAGCAGCATTTTTGCTCTAAGCATCAGAAAGCCTGCATTCTCAAAGAGGGGGGGAAAAACCTTTCTCTCTGAATTTCTGTTGTTGTTTTCTAAGGACAGAGTGCTTTAATAGTTGGTAAGTGCTGCTAATTGCTCCCTGGACAGCCCTAATCTGGCCATTTCCTCCCTGCCTTTTACTCCATAAATCCTTCAGAAGACTAATATATTGGTTCAGTATTCCTCAAAAGTACCCCCTTTGACTAGATTGGTTTACATGTTTACAAATAGTTTCTCTACAGCTACCATTTGGAAGAGCCTATTGTTAGAAAATCTTTTATTATTGATGCTCTGTACAAGTCCAGGCTTATCACGCATCCCCAAGATCAACCACCAAACGCTTCTCCTTTTTTCTTTTTCTTGCTCTCGTTTTTTTAAAGAACACACCACCTTGTACTCAAAACAAGCAGAAAATACGCGTTTTCTGCCTCTAACCATTCTAGACCTTAGGACAAATTACTGAGCCTTAGATTCTTCATTTACAAAGCAGGAAAAAGAAACCTTCTTTAATAATAATAATGGTTACACTTAATAGGTGCACAGCTCACAGCTCTGTCCTGAAGGAGCACTCTCTCATAGTCTTTGAACCCCACCCATGAGGTGACAATCATCACCCTAAAGGAGAGAGTGATTGCCAAGGCGGACCGCAGAGTCAGTGGAGACAGAACTCACATTCACTACTCCCAGTCGGTGGGGACTATTCCTGATCTCTCCTGCTACTGCTCTTGAACAAGAGAGGGACTCAGATAAGTGAATGCACTCAATAAGGATAAAACTATAGGTAAATTCACATTCCAGAAAGAACGAATGCTATTCTTTGAATTGTTAAGTTGGAAAAACTGGCCCCCAACAAATACTTAGTACTCTAAGATATAGAAATATGTGCCTGTGAGACCAGGTAAGCAAGATGAATGGATGGATGGATGGATGGACAAATGGACGGATGGACTGATGGACAGGTAGATATATAGATTGATTAGAAAGAGCTTTTCTGGGGCCACCTGGGTGGCTCAGTCATTTAAACATCTGACTTTGGCTCAGGTCATGATCTCATGGTTTGTGAGTTCAAGCCCTGTGTTGGGCTCTGTGCTGACAGCTCAGAGCCTGGAGCCTGCTTTGGATTCTGTCTGTCTGTCTGTCTCTCTCTGTCTCTCTCTCTCTCTCTCTCTCTGTCTCTCAAAAATAAATAAAAATTTAAAACACACACACACACAAAGAAAGAGCTCTTCTGTTTATGACTCCTTTTTCAGAAAGTTGCCAGTTATTCAAAAAGAACATTACCTTGGTTCTTTTTCATTTCAGGCTTTTTCCCCCCGCATGTTTACAGATTGCTTAATTACTTCGTTGGGCTTTGGAACGCGTACATTACAGATACATGATCATCCAAGTCATTACCTGCATATTTTCCCATTAAGAATAATCATAGCTCTTACCACCACTGCCCATGTACTTATGTCCTGCAGGCCTGGGCACACTGAAGTAATCATCTTTTGAAAATGATCTTGATGTGCGAGTGTTGTGTGCACAATCGGTAATAAGCAAGATAAGGTGGGAAGATTTCCATCTCTTCCATTATCGAGTGGTTCAAAAATCACATTCCTGTTGTGTCATCACAGTGCCATGCAGGACGCCGAGGTGGTTTATGTTCTCCCGAGAAGTGAGTTAGCACTAAATATGGAGACAGGACCCAGGGGATGCCAGATTGTATCTCCCTCTCTGTGGATTATCTTTCTGAGCACATCCACACCACCCATTTCCTGGCTCAATTTCATTGTCTACAAAATGGGATTTATAAGATGCTTTAAAAACCTCCGATCATCAAATCTGAGATGGGACCGTCTTATAGATGGCCGCATGGCTTTTTATACTGATTAAGAGCCCAAGCTCTGGAATAATGGCTCTTCTGCTTTATGAACTCCATAAGCTTGGGCATGTTACTTACCCTCTTGGAGCCTCAGTTTCCACATCTGTGAAGAGAAGATAGTAGTAGTCCGTCCGTGCCCCTTGGAGATTCAGCGAGATCCCACTTGTAAAGCACTTCGCCCAGTTCAAGATACAGGTGGAAGTCCAGTGAATGTTAGCTACAACTGTTATCATCAGATCTAACCTGGAAGAGCCAGGACTATTCAGCGTAGCTCAGGCAACACATGTGAATTAAAAGCAATAATTTTCTCCCAGATAATAGTCCAAAGACATTGTGAAGGGGTCACATGTTATTTTAATCAGGGGATCGTGAAGGGGTTCAATTTCAAAGGTAGAAGAAAGACAAGCTAGCAGATGTCTGAAAAAATATTGGATTATAACCAAGAAAAGGCTGTTTAAATGACTGGCTAGTAAATATTCTATAACTGGTTTCTTCAAGAGTTAATTACTCTTAGTTAAAAAATTTTTTTTTGTTTTATTTTCAATACAGCTAAAAAGTATTCACTGTTAAGTTTCTGAGATTTTAAATAAGCACTGAAAAGCCTCCATGAAATTGCCTGTTACCACCTAGAAAAGGTTAATATTTTTGTAAATCATTCCATTAGCCCTCAGCCATGGCCTCTCTTATTACACTCCCCATTTCCAATAAATAATGTTGCTCTGTATACATCCTTCCTTACATACTGTTCTTTGCATCTCGCTATGTATTATTCACAACTTTTTATATCACTTACTATTCTTTTCATTTTCTTAGTGGTTAGCTGACTTTCTAGTCAGTTAATGTAATTTATTTAACCAAGTCTCAATTACTGGGTATTTTGGTTTGTCCCCAAATGGTTGTCATGAACAACTATGTCGCCTAAGTCTTTGCATCAGTTTGTAGAGGTGGGCTCGCTAGATCAATGAAAATATGCTTTTTTAAAACAGCAAGCATCGGTTTGTAAATTCCCGTATTTTTAACTTGGTCTGCACACCCAGACACGCCATCTTTTTTAAGTGTGGACACGGTGCCCCACCACAAATGATGTAGGTGAGTTTCCCGCAGTTGGGTAAACCGCAGAGGTCAGCCTACTGGTCGTGCAATGGATAAGCCTCGCCCTGGAAACACCACCGTCACGACGACGGTATCTCCCCTGCCAGGTAAAGATGCCCCAGCCTCATGTTAGCTAGGACTGGGTGTCCCCACTGGAAAAAAATGTGTGTGTTGCTTCTGGGACAGATTGTCTTCGAAGCAGGTTCTGCTGGCACTATTCGGCGCTGCTGTGAGTAGCAAATGGCCAAGGGCTCTGAGCACAGTGTCTACCTGGCTCCCGGTAGACTAAACATGTCACATTTATACCCTTCTTCGCTGTGCCTCCCATGAGCGGGGGACGGTGTAAGCTTGAGTGTCCCAGCCAATATGCCCAGCTGAATATGGTTGTCTAAGTGTCTGGGGCTCTTGGTTTTTCAGGACACATTTGGTGTCACTGATGTGAGTAGGCTGTGGTTTAAAACTGTCCATTCGGGAACTTCAACCACTGTTTTTTAAAGTGATTTGAAATACAAGTTTGTATGTGCACAGAATATCTCTAGGAGGAGGCGCAAGCAACTGGGGATGAGGTTTGTCTCTGGCTACGGAGGGTGAAGGGGATGCGACTGGGTGAGAGACGTTCTTTGCACTGGATCCTTCACACGTTTTGCTTTCTTACCATGTGCGCATATACAAAAGGGAAATTTTTAAGCAAGAAAGATGAAGCCCAAAAGAAACAAGGATGCATTTAGAGGTTTCCCATTGTCAGCTACCGGATTAGTAAAACATAAACAAAACAAGGTACTTGAATCATTTTGCAAAAAGGGTACATATAGTTGGGTATTTAAGAATGCAGGGTCTGGAGCCAGGCTTCCTGGGTCCATATCACAGCTCTTTTGCTTACTAGCTGTGTGATCTTAGACAATCACTAAACCCCCCTGTACTTCAGTGTCCTCCTCCATAAAATGGGGTTAATTGTACTACCTGCTTCACAGTTACTTGTATTCAGTGAGTAAAAACATAAAAGCCCCCAGAACAGTAACTAGCACACAGCATGTGATCATTGTATATTAGCTATCATTATTTGCTATGGTTGTCCCTATCATTCTTCACTCAATTTTTGCAATGTTACAATTACAATAGCAAAGAGCCCTCCCTACCATTTGTAGATTTCGAAAAGTAAAGGGCAATTCACTTCAAGTGTCTAACTGATTTCAAATTGTTTACAACTATGCAAATAGACAGTGGAAGAGGGGGAGAGGTGCAAAACTTCCCTTCAGTCAGTAGCGATTCCAGATTTGAGAATTGCCACTCGCAAGTCTTCGCAAGACGAGGTGACCCGACTCATTTGGGGAGTTTGGCTTTTGTTTTCTTTGCGCGCCAATGTGATCTTGTTTCTTTCTTCTTTTGAGCATGGGTGGAGTGCAGGGGAGGAAGAGACAGTAGTTAAACAAACGGCAGAAACTCAAGTTTCAGTGCCCATGTAACGCGATTACCCCTTAAGCAACTGTGTAGGAGCAAGTATTTTTACATTCTAATTCCAGTATAATTAAGATACAGTGTTGTATTAGTTTCAGGTGTACAATATAGGCATTCAACCATTCTATACATTACTCAGTGCTCATCATGGTAAGTGTACTCTTAGGGAAGCCTGTTTTGAAATCAGTATTTGCCTAAGGAAACCATTCACAAGATAGGAAGGTGTTAAAGCTTCCTGAAAACATTCTAATCCCACCTACTGTGCATAATGTGCTCAGTCATTGGAAATGTATTGCTGGCAAAGCAGATGATGTGGTGACGGGGACAAGTAGACTCTGCTGTCACACAAGCCTAGATACATTCTTTTGCCCAACATTTTACTGAACGTGATAAACATAGTGCTGTTACTATGCCTGTTTTATGGGTGACCCTTGCTGCCTTATTTCAGTGTGGCTCTTCCCAAGCTGCCAGTGTTATCAGAGTGGGATCTCTCCTCCAGGATTTCAGGGTCAGGCCATGCCAAACTCAGGTCAACATATTTAATTAATGAGAGTACACAGCAGATGCTAGTTTTAAGGATTCTTAGCAGATTCACTGCTGTGCCTCACACAATAAGCATTTGCTGAATGAAGCCCCAAATTCAACATGAGGGTATAACATAGTATTGCCCCCATAAAGACAAGGCTACCTAGGAGAGCCTGGGTGGCTCAGTCAGGTAGGCCTCTGACTTCGGCTCAGGTCATGATCTCGTGGTTCGTGGGTTTGAGCCCCACGCCAGGCTCTGTGCTGACAGCTCAGAGCCTGGAGCCTGCTTCAGATCCTGTGTCTCTGTCTGTCTCTGCCCCTCCCCTGCTCACTGGCTCTCTGTCTGTCTGTCTGTCTCTCTCAAAAATAAATAAACGTTTTAAAAAAAAAAAAAAAAAGAAAGAAAAAAAGACAGGACTCTCTCAAGTGCCCTGGACCCACCAAACCTTCAGGCATAAAAAGGCTGTGTTGTTTGGTCCAGGGTTGCTCACTCCACTGCTACAGGTGATCCAAATAGGACAACGGGTAGGAATTGGGTCCAAACAATCAAGTCTAGTTACAAAACATTTTCACTGCATAAACGCAAGTTGGGTTAAGCTTAGAGTTCTGACTCCCAGCACGGCCGAAGAGAATACCTTTAAAAAGAAACTGAAAAGTTGGGGTGCCTGGGTGGCTCAGTTGGCTAAGCGTCCGGCTTTGGCCCAGGTCATGATCTCATGGTTTGTGGGTTCAAGCCCCGTGTTGGGCTCTGTGTTGACAGCTAGCTCAGAGCCTAGAGCCTGCTTCTGATTCTGTGTCTCCCTCCCTTACTCATGCTGCCTCTCTCTCTCTCTCTCTCTCTCTTAGAAGTAAATAAAACATTTAAAAAAATTTTTTAAATAAATAAACTGAAAAGTGGCTTGTTTCATTTTACTAAATTATTCAAAATCCAAGAAGTGTGAAAGAGTGGGCCTCAGGAGGAATGATCTGATAGTCTAAACACAGAGGCAAATGTTGAAACTAAGATAACATTGTATGTTAACTGTACTTTAGTAAAAATCGAGCATCAAAACAGAGACAAAGGTCTATCCTGCTCTGTTCTGCTGCAGTATCTAGTTCCCCCGGTCATTACAGCAGGAAGCAATGAGAAAAGTTTGTTCTGTGTACCAGAGGGCTCAGTGTTCCTCCTGTGGATTGTCTAATCCACATTTTCTAGGAGTGGGGATGTAACTGCACAACATAATTTTAAAGAAACAACACTCATAATGTTACATACCTTTTGAGTAAAAATTGAGCGAGCTAAAAAAATAAAAAATAAAAAAAAAAAAAAATTGAGCGAGCTATATTTAAACCTCCTAACTTAGAATTTGTCAAGACGCCAGATCCAGAGATTTCAAGAGCAACATGGTAGTGAAACACCAAGACGCTCATGGGTACAGATGAACTGATGGGATCGTGTGCTTGTCTTGCCCATGGCCACAAGCCACATGGCATTCCCATCATTACATTTCCCCCATCTACCAGGAAGACTAGGTTCCTGGGATGCAAACTGTACTGATGATATTAAGGCTGAGATAGCCCTTTGGGGTTTGTAGGCATTCTAATTATAGTACATTTGTTTTATAATTTTAACTGAGGTTACTGTATAAACATTTGTAATGCATCTTCATTATTAGGCTATGGAAAGAAATCTATTTCTGCCAACAGAGGGCAAACAAATCTTCACTATCTCTTTGGTCCACTAGTTTACATTTAGAACATCACACCTTTTCTGAAAAGCTGTTGGAGACATATGCTTTCATTATTATCCTTCAGTGATTTAGTACTGAACTCTGAAACAGGCAAAATATCCAACTTACCATGAACTGATGTCCTATTCCAATTACCATTAATTAATTCAAAATATGTTACCTTTATACAAAGCATTATTTTTAAAATCTTATGCTTTGAACCGCCAATGAATATTTATACATTTCTTTAGCTAATATTTATTGAAAACCTATTAGTGCCCAACACTGTCACTCAATGGTATTTTTTTAAATTTTTTTAAATGTTTCTTTTTGAGAGAGAGAGAGACAGAGTATGAGCTGGGGAGGGGCAGAGAAAGAGGAGACACAGAATCTGAAGCAGGCTCCAGGCTCTGAGCTGTCAGCACAGAGCCTGATGTGGGACTTGAACTCAAGAAACAGGAGATCATGACCTGAGCCAAAGTCAGATGCTTAACCAACTGAGAGCCACACAGGCGTCCCTTCGGTGGTATTTTTTAAGCTTCCCAAATAGATCTCAAACTTCTAATATGAAAATATATTCTTAAAAAGAGAGAGAGAGAGAATTTGTGAGAAAAGCCCATGTCAGAAGGTAAAAATAGAAGACTGTGGATTTTTATACCAGCTCTGCCATTGATCCACAAATGACCCACAAGTCATGTATCTCTCTGTGCCTCTGTTTCTTCACCTTCAACAGAGTAGCAGTAATTTTTCTTGACCTGATTCAGCTGTTAGGAGAAAGAGCTAATAAAAATTGTTGTGAAGTACCATGAATATTGAAAAATGCATCATCATCATGATTAATAATAATGTATCAAGCTCAAATATTGAAATGACTCTCTGGCATCATTCCAAATCAAGAAATATAAGCTTTGGCCTTGCATAGTAATGAAGAGAAACAGTGTGAGATACTCTTATTATACCAGTTCAAATGAACACAGTGATGAATATCTTTTAATTACAGTGTATTCTGTAACAGTGTGCGTGTGCGCAGGCGTGCACACGCTTGAGTCTGTGTGTGTGTGTGTGTTAGACTAAATGTATTGCAGTCCCTTCAATAATATATCTAGGGTTCAAATAGAACCATTCCCAAACCAGGCAGACATTTATATATCTGTACCTAACCTTAGAATGGAATGCTCATTTTGATAGAGGACACGAGCAGCTAGCAGTCCTCTGTTAAAGAAAGCTCGCTCTGATTTCATAGATCTCAAAATCTGTCATCCTCACGTTAGCTGACTATCTGGCACCTAATGAGAAAAACAAATTGCTTTTACTTTCCACGGGAGACATTTGCATTTAGGACTTTTTTTTTTTTTGACTCATAAAAGGTTTATAAAGCATCCACTCAAACCATTCTACCTGCATTTTTCACCTAAAAGGGTCTTTA